GGGGCCCGCCGGCCCGCCGCAGCTGCTGTACCGCCGTTGTAGGCCAGGGGCTGCATCGCGGGACCTAAGATGCCGGCGGCTGTTTGAAGGGAGGCCGAAGCGCCGGCCACCGCCGTCACGGCGCCGGGTGGCGACCCCACGTACTGCTGCTGCTGGCGCTGCTGAGATTGCGCCGCAGGCCGCTGCTGCTGCGGCTGCCGCTGCTGCTGCTGCTGTTGCCGCGGCTGCTGCGGCTGTCGCTGCTGCTGCTGCAGCCGAGCAGCCTTCTGCCGGCCGCCGGCCGCGGCCTCGCCCTGCGGCGGGCCGCCGGCCTGCTCCCTCGCCTCCGACTTCTGCTGCGAGCGCAGCGCCCGCCAGCAGGCGTGGTCCAAAATATCTTCCGGCACCATGTCGGCCCCCAAGTGTGCCAGCAGCCGCTTCAGGGGGGACCCGATCTTCGGGTCGCCCGCGACGTCAAACAGCATGCGCAGCTGCGCCTCCGGCAGCGCCGGCCGCAGCAGCGCCAGCCCGCGCGGCCCCAGCGTCCAGGCGAGCCCGCGCAGCACGCGCACGCCGCTCGCCTCCGCGGCGGGCCCCGCGTCCCGCGGGCCGCAGAGCAGGCGGCGCAGCGCCGCGGCGTTGCTGCCCAGGACGGCGGCGATGTACAGGTGCTGGCTGCCGGGGGACACAGACTCCGAGCCAACCGAGCGCGCGGGGTTGTCGGTCGCGTCAAAGGGGTCCTCCAGGGGGCAGAGGTACGCCTTGGCAAACCGCTGCCGCCGCCACACGCCGTTCCAGCAGTCGGGCCGCCAGTCCCTGCAGAGACAGTGCGTCCGCAGGCAGGGTTGGGCGGCGGGGTCGCGCGGGCCTGGGCTGCTGCAGCCTGCGGCAGGTCGCACTCGCCTCTACCTCAGCCCCATGCCTTGGCGCCGCCCCCGACAAGCGGCCAGACCCCTGGCCGCCGTCAACCCCAGAGCCGCACCAACCGCCACGCTTCATCCCATCACCCGCGGTCCACCCCGCCCCACCTGTGCCGCCCCTCCGCCCAAGCCCCAAACGGCAGCTCCCAGTAGCACAGGAAGCCGACCAGCAGCTGCGTCAGGTCGTGCCCCACTGCCGCCACCGCCGCCGCCGCGTGCGCGCCCGCGCCCCCGTCCGCGTCCGCGTCCGCGTGCGCAACCCCGCCTGCCACCGCCCCGCCCCCGGAGCCGTTGGCGGCCAGGGCGCGCTGCTTCGCGCGGTTCAGATCCGCGGCGCGGCCGTCCACTGCAGCCACCAGATCATCCAGCGCCTCTTCGCGCACCCACAGCCCGCGCAGCCGGGGGTCCAGCAGCCGCACGTCCTCCCAACCCCCAGCCGAACCGCCGCCGCCGCCGCCGCCGCTGCTGCCATCGGAGGAGAGGACGGCCCTGGCGGCCTCCCTGCCGCCAAAAATTGGGTCATCCGCCTGCTGCTGCTGTTGCTGCTGCGGCTGCCGCTGCTGCTGCTCCAGGGGCGGCGGAGCGGGCAGCCGCGCGAGCTCTTTCGGGCACAGCGCGCGCAGCGGGGGCAGCACGCCGAGGCGCTGCAGGAAGAAGATGCACATGTACATGAGGGACGTGGAGTTGAGGGTGGACTGGCTGGCGTCGTTGCACTCGTGGGTGCGCGCCCACAGCTTGACGAGCCGGAATAGCGATGGGAACCTTGGAAAGCGGGCATGTGCGGGGGGACGCGAATGGCCAGTGTGGTGGGGTGAACAATGTCGTTTGCGGGCGTGACGCCGGGTGGGCAGGAAGCACCTTGCGCCACGCTTGGCGCTGCCTGCGACCCTCGGCCTTGCCACCCGCACCCGCTACCCGCTGTCAGCCGCTGATGCGAGATAGCCGCATGGGCCGCCCACCTGGTATCAAGCTGCGCAATGGCCGCCATGAAGCGGCCCTTGAGGGCGCCGTCGTAGCTCTGCACTGTCAGGTCGCACTCCACGCCAGTCTGCCAGTGCACAAACTTCAGCAGCGGCACGCGCGCATGCAGCACAAACTCGATCTGGAGGAGAGGTGGAGAAAGTGCATGTGTGTGTGTGTGTGTGTGTTTGTGTGCGATTGTGAGCGTTGCTGCAGGGGGTTCGCACACGTTCCGACACACGGGGGCGACGATGCTGGCGAAAGCATGTGTGTGTGTTGGCGTGTGGCAGTGTGGGTGAGGAGAGTGTGAGGGCAAAACGCATTCAGGGAAGAGGGAAAATTTGCTTGGGGCAGTAAGTGCTGCAGGCCACACCGCTGCTTGCCTCCCTGCTCACTTGATCGTGGCGGCAGAGCGCTTTGTGCAGGCCGCCCCAGATCCAAGCCCCTCGCGCCCCCTTGAACCCTGCGCCACCCCGCTGCCTGCCCTCGCCCCATGACCCCTCCCGCCGCCCCGCCGGCCCCGCCACCCACCGAGCCGCGGACCAGCCTGCGGTCGTATAGCCGCGACGCAACCTTCCTCAACAGCGTCTTGCAGCCGTTGGCGGGCAGCAAGTAGGGCGCCTGCCCGTTCCAGGTGCCGGCCAGCAGCAGGTCGACGTCCGAGTCCGGGAACCCCATGTTTGAGAGGAAGCTGCCAAACGGCCGCACGTGCAGGCCCATGTCCGACAGCGCCGCGTTGAGGTCGGCCACCAGCAGGGCGCGGCGCTCGTGGTCCTGCGGCCCGGGCGTCAGGCTCTGGAGGCGGGCGCGGGGGGCCGCGGGGCGGGGTGAGCGAGGGCCGCTTGGCGCCCCGAAATGCGCACATGACTCGAGACTCTTTGCTGGATGCATCACGGCCAAGCTACGCTGCCCACAGACAATAAACAGCAGGTCCACGTGCTCCGTCGGGGCCCTTGTGGCGAGCGGCGCGACCCGCGGCTGGTTGGCTTGTCGGGTGAGGGGCGGCTGGCTTGCATGTGGGGGTATGACAACCCAGAGCCCATGGCGTCGCCCTGCCGCTGACTGCTGCACGAGAGATTGTGGTCAGGGGCCCGCCGTGTCACGCAGCACCACCACCGGCAGGGCCTCGTGCCCGCATCTCACCGCAACAATGCCGCTCAACGCCGACTCCCACTCCCAGTGGCTCTGCCTTGTGATGTCGGGCCACACCGATTCAAACACTGACAGCTCTTGCTCCATGGCGCCTGCCCACCGCTGCCGCCGCCACTGCCGCCCCCCGCGAGCTGTGCTCTGAGGCGAAGTTGTTGCAGAAGCGGGTGCCGCTGGTTGGGTTCAGCAGTGATGTCGAATGGGGCAACATCGCCAGGCGCGGGCGCATTCGTGAGCTCAGGGACGCACAAGTACGCGCGCTTGTGCCCTGCCCGCCGCTCGGGTATGTGCTGCATGTGCTGCACGTAGATGCGTGTGATTCCATGCCTGGCACAAGTCACCACGTCCCCTGCTCGTGGTATCTACTTGGGGCTCAGAGCTACGCCTGACCGGTCGCCCCTGGTGCACCTTTTCAGTCACTGTGAGTTACACGCGAGCATCAATCGCTCCCTGCTCGCCTCGATCCCGGATGTCAAGGGTAAAGTGATCTCGCGAAAGAATGCTGCCATGTCACAATTGACGATAGAGTACCTACACAGGCCTTCCGGTATGATGCATCAAGTCGTGCGTGAGGCATCCCTGAGTAAAACCGGCGTCAATCGTGCATTTGGCCTGCTGCAGTGCTGCTGCTCCAGGCAGTGAGGGCCAGGCAGGTGGGGGCGGGGGGCGCCAGCACAGGAGACCACCTCGTCTTCACCATACCCCATTTCAAAAGTGCGAGCTCCCATTGCTGTCGGTGCATCATGCCCTTTGAAAATGCAAGAACGGTAGTTATGGGCGTTAGCACAGATAGAGATTGTGACATGATGGTGGTTGGCTGTGTCGGTGCTCGGTGGTGTGTCGTGGACGTGACAAGGTCTGCTGTGGCGGGTGCCCTTAATTCCACGGCAGGCGCCATGGTCGATCCTTTACACTGGACCTGCCGCCTGATCGCTGCGTGATGGATGTGAATTGGCCATGGCCGTAGTGCATGCGTCTTGCTTAGCTGTCAGGAGTGGCCCCAGGCGGTGACCCTGCCAATGGTCGCAGCGTAAGCAGTATGCCTTGATACCCTAGGACCCCTGGCACAGGCAATGTGCCTGTCATATCAATTGCAGACCTGTCTGTCGCCGCCCGTGGCAACAAACGCGTCTAGCAGGTCAAACATTAGTCGGTCAGCGTGCGACTTTCGTGCCGAGGGTGCATCCAAGACGAATGAAACTGGATCGCGCATGAAAAGTGTCACGGGAAAATTCCGTAGATCGACCTGCATTTGCAAAAGGTGTGCCATGCCACGCTGCGCCATGCAAATGCCGCAGCAACGCGCCCAGCCTCCAGCCACACGGTCAATACTTGCGTCAGGCGGGCGCGCTTCAGTCCCAGCCATTCTCAACGAACCAAGCGGAGCGATTTGAAGGACTTGAAATCACTTTGGTGATAGACACGCAGCGGCATCGCTCGCGGCCTGCTCCCGATCTCGTGGCGCAGGATGCAGACCGGGCTGGGGGCCCGCGGGCAGCGCATTGGTGGCAGTGGATCAAGCCGTCATCGAGCGAGGCCGTTTGGCAGCACGCCTTGCCGGGGTCCCGCAGCGCGATGGCAGGTGCGGGCGAGCAGCGACCCCGACAAGGAGCCGGACGCCAAGGATCTACGCGACAAATTTTTTAAGCAATCTGAGTCCCAGCGGTCGCGGTCACAGTCGCCCAGCAGCAGCGGAGGGGACCAGCAGGGCAGCAACATTTTAGACAGCGTCAATCCCTACCAGCTCGGACGCCAGGCGCGCCAGGCAGTGAACGACTTGTGGGGTCAGCTGAGTGCGGTCACAGCGCCAACGAAGAGCTTCTCGTTTGACGATGTGCTCGACCTCGGTCTGGACGCCGACGCGCCGTCTTCGGCGACGAGCACCCGCGTGCTTGTCGTCGGCGCGACTGGCCGCGTCGGCCGCATCCTCTCCCGCAAGCTCCTGCTGCGCGGCTACAAGGTCCGTGCGCTTGTCCGCCGGCGCGAGGGCATGCGTGAGGGCGCGGAGGGCGTGCCGGACGCCGTCGAGGTGGTCAGCGGCGATGTGGGCGAGATGAAGGATGTGCAGCGGGCAGTGCGCGGGGTCGACAAGGTGAGGAGCGCGCGCTCAAAGGAAAGGTGGCCTTGGGCGAGGGGCTGGTGTGGGTCGGCGGCGCTGGCGGCAGGGGGGTGTGGGCGGCAGGCCGGACCGCTTCGGTGGCGTGTGCGGGGTGTTTGACCGCGGACACTGCATTGACGGCAGGAGCTTTGAATGGTCTGCAAACCATGTGCGGTTGATCTGGGTGCTGCCAAGCCTCGCAGCTGGCGCTTCTGCGCTCTGCGCAGCGCCATGCGCCGCATGCCTTGGGCATTCGCTGCGGCTGACGCCATCGCCGGCCCCGCACGGCCACGTCCCTCAGATCATCTTTGTGGCCGGCGCGCGCTCCATCTTCACGGGCGACCTGCTGCGCGTGGACGACCGCGGCGTTATGAACGTGGTCAAGGCGCTGCAGGTGCACCCCGCAAGCGCATAGCGTAGCTTCCCTACCGCAGCGGCGGGCGGGTCTCCTGGGAATGGGCCACGCACGCAGCGGCGGCGGCGGC